GGGGGGGGGGTGGGGGGTTAATTACCAATGATCACCATGCGGCTTGCAGCCTACAGATTCTGTAGGGCTAGGGCCTGGGTCTGCAGCGGTACGGGTTGCAGTGTCCTTAGTAGCACCGGTTGGTAGGCGGGGACCAGCGCAGTGCCTGGGGGTAGTTTTTAGAATGTTAGATTGATGTACTGTACATGGAGAAAGGGGGGTGGGGGCAGGAGGGTCAATTACCAATGATCACCATGCGGCTTGCAGCCTACAGATTCTGTAGGGCTAGGGCCTGGGTCTGCAGCGGTACGGGTTGCAGTGTCCTTAGTAGCACCGGTTGGTAGGCGGGGACCAGCGCAGTGCCTGGGGTAGTTTTTAGAATGTTAGATTGATGTACTGTACATGGAGAAAGGGGGGTGGGGGCAGGAGGGTCAATTACCAATGATCACCATGCGGCTTGCAGCCTACAGATTCTGTAGGGCTAGGGCCTGGGTCTGCAGCAGTATGGACTGCAGTGTCCTTACTAGCTCCAGTTGTTAGGCGGGGACCAGCACAGTGCCTGTAAGAATGGATTGAATAAATTTAGATGTCAGTCAACTTTTGTTCTTCTCCCCCACCCAATACCAAAGCAGAGAATCCAATCATCTGGTTCTGTTGGGGTCAGGAAATATAAAAAATACTCCAGCTAGTTGCTCTCTGAGGATGGCTTGAGGATATTGATAAGAAGATGATGGTGGCGATGAATATGAATTGACATACCAATGATCACCGTGCGGCGTACAACCGACTGACTCCGTCGGCGAAGGGCCTGGGTCTGCAGCAGTATGGGTTGCAGTGTCCTCAGCAGCACCAGTTGTTAGGCGGGGACCAGTGCAGTGCCTGCAAGAATGGATTGAATAGATTTAGATGTCAGTCAACTTTTGTTCCTCTCCTTTCCCCCCTACTCAATATAAAAGCAGAGAATCTAATCATCTGATTCCTTCAGGGTTGGCAAATATAAAAAAAATACTCCAGCTAGCTGCTCTTTGAGGATGGCTTGAGGATATTGGTAAGAGAATGATGGTGATGATGAATATGAATTGACATACCAGTGATCGCCATGCGGCGTACAACCGACTGACTCCGTCGGCGAAGGGCCTGGGTCTTGTCCGAGAACGAAGCTGGCGGGAGTGGAGAGGAGGGAGATGGCGACGAGGGCGACGGTAACGAACTTCATATTTCTCCCGTTTGTGTCTGGATTCGAAGGGCGCAAGGAGATACTCAAATTTGAAAACGATAGAAGTGAAGTTCTGCTCGCTGAAAAAGAGTGACGCTTTCAAGCCCAATGAACCGCAAGAGATTCAACATCAGATCAGGAAGAAGCAAGATTTCGCAGACTTGGTCTGCGCCTTTTATATCTACTGGAGTATATATCCCTGCGCAAACCCTACCTTACCATAGATACCTGTACATCTTGACATCTTGATCTTGCCCTGGACATTTTATCCCCTCTGCTCTGGTCAACTAAACAAGAAATTTTCAGAACTAGCCTGGGACTGGTACCCAATGCACATGCCACGGTCCCCTCCCTGGGAACGACAGAGGTGGGACTAACCAGCCAGCAGGCGGCTAGTAGTAATCCTCTCAGCAGCGGGAAACGGAAACGAAATCTGCGGGAAGTTCAAGTATGCCCCCGAGTGGATCGTTTGGCACAATGGCCCCTGCGTCCCATCCCGCGCTGCTGAATGTTCATTGCTTCGATATGAGTACCCTCGTAGTGCAGGGAGGTGATTCTTGATAGACCTTCTGGTGGGGCAAAGGTGGGAAGGATATGGCATTAGTGTACTCCGTATTTGCTCTGGCATCTATGTGTGTGATAGATGTGCGTGTATCCCTTGCCTCTAGCCTCTAGATATAGGACAGTCAAGGAGGGCATTATATGGATATGCCAGTAGTTGGTAAAAAGTAGGTAACATTGTTCCATCATAGATGTTGCCTGTTAGAAAAAGCATGTCGCATTTTGAACGGAAAACGGTTGCGTGAGATGGGACATTCCCACCACCAACCACCAAGGTCCGCAGCGCGAGAAGGCCTCCACTAGGGAGGAGAGGCCTGTTTGCAGTAGCATGTGTTAGCGGCACAATAGTTATCAATAATGAAGACAAAAGTAGTGAAGGGAAAAAAAAAAAAAAAAAAAAAAAAAAAAAAAAAAACCAATGAATAGATTGGCTAGAGAGCTACAGAGGAGAGATCGCGTGCGGTTCCAACCTTTGGTTGAAACTTGCATTTTTGAGAGAGAAACTTGTTGCCTTTGCTTCCTCATCACATGTCACATCCATGATTTGATGCGCCTCACTTCAATGTAATTATCATCACAACATTACTTGTGCACAGAGGAATGGCCCAGGTGGAGCAAATACAGTCTCAAAAAGGTGTCTTGATGCTATGATCAATGCGCAACGAACGAGGCTAGTAAGCCAACCCCTTTAAGCTCCAGTTGAGGAGTGGTTCTAAACTCGTTGATCCATCCGCCTCCACGCATAGATCCTCCATTTCTCAAAGTATGTTTTTTATGAATTCACCCGCACCGCTTAGTTTCAGAATGCGTGCTACAGCACGATGGACTGCAAGGAGTTGAGGTGAGGGTGGATCAATAGTATGTTCGGGGCTCAGTTAAAGCTGGCGATCGAAATATATCTCAAATTCTCTGAAAAGCCGATGATACTTTTTGTGTCACTGTCAACGCATTTTTTGGGCTATCAATATCCTGGCCTTCAATAAGATGGATAGCATCCGGATCAAATATTTTTAGAATGTGATAAATATGCTGCCTGTTTCGACTCACTCTAATGAACAAATTAGAGAAGCATAGCAACTATCCATTACTAGGGGGATAACAAACTAACTGTGAGTCTTCAGGAGAGATGAATGTGAGCGAGTGAGGAATTATGTGGGCCACTTCTAGACATTCAAATTCATCATTATTCAGATCCCTCAAGGGTTTCCTGTCATCATCTGTGCTATCCCCATTTGTGTCAAGCCGTTTCTTGACTTCAGCTCTATCAAACTTTCGAGACGCCACACAGCGGTGGTGGTCGGGGGAAAGACATTCTTGTCGTAACTTTGACACACGGTTTCTCGTACCAATCGGTGCAGCTTGTTTCGAAGACAGCGATGTAGGTTTGGGCTGCGGCGTTTTGACGGAGGAGGCTCGAACTACGTGGCAGAAGTTAATTTTAGAGTTCGAAAGAAAAGGAGAAAAACCAAGTGATGCGGCATGAAAAAAATTATCAATCATATATTTCAGCGAATTTATCCATGGCAACCACAGCTTCTCCTCTGCGCTTTGAATTCCATGATGAGAAATCATGAAAGGAGGCAAATGCTTGATGAAAACTGAAACCAGTTCTGTGTTCTTCTTCTGGAGTGACACTGCCATAAATGTATGTAAAGAAATAATCAAGGAACTCATTGGTGGATTTAACATGTTCAAATTTTGCACTTATGAGAGCTGCGGGCTTGTAGCGCCTCTTTACTGTTCGGTCAGACATGTATTTGATCAAAGTATTGAACAGGGTTCGCCCCTCCCTGCTCTCCTCTAGGGCTAGAGATGGGGGTGGGTGCTAGAGTAGAGATATCTCAATCTAGAGAAATTTGTGACGATGATGTTGAGCCATCATGATATAGAGTTCTGTAGAAGAAAGTCATAAATCTTGATGAACAGTATTGACCAATTCGATTTTCAGATGGTTTGAATAGTTAACAAATTAAGGTCACCAGCGTACGGAGTAGGAGGAGTCATGTTGTGTATATTATTTGTAGCGGCGGCCGCCTCGGTGGCGTTGCCCCAGCGATTGCTCCGCACATGGAGAATATAAGAGATTCAACCATCTCACATATTATTGCTCTGATAGAGCATATTTAATCTATTCCAAGGATTATTATAGCTAGTTAACTGCTTCCCATTATTCCATATATATGGCTATTATTATGAAGAAATCAAAAGCTAGATATCAAGCCCTATTATGTATTTTCCTTCCTTTAGAGGCCGATCAATATTCCATGCCGCTGCCGTTTACAACCTCGCAGGCAGTTTCCCCATCTTACAATTTATTTTTCCATTTGATAAACATCCCCTCCCCTCCTCAAAAGAGTGTTGAGGAAAAAGAAAAGGAAAAACGAACCAGGCTGACCGCAGTGATAGCCAAAAGAGAGAGAAAACAAAGACTTACTGCCTCATGTCAACCACGCAGCGAATGCAGTCACCATCGTTCATCTGCTCGAAAGCTTTATTAATGGATGCCAGTGGTTCACGGTGGGTGATGAATTCGTCCACTTTCAGCTTGCCGGTCATGTAGGCGTCGACTAAATCTGGCAGCTGGCTGCGGCCCTTGATTCCACCGAAAGCACTGCCTTTCCATTGGCGCCCAGTAACAAGTTGGAATGCTGTAGGTTATATTCAGTTAGCGATTTTGCTTATTTTTATCCATACCAGTTTAATCTTCTACAAAAAGAGGGAAAGAAGCAGGAGTACATACGTCTCGTGGATATTTCTTCACCAGCAGCTGCGACTCCAATGATTATGCTTTGGCCCCAACCCTTGTGGCAGGCTTCAAGTGCAGCACGCATTACACCGACATTTCCTGTGCAATCGAAGGTATAATCGCATCCACCGTCCGTCATCTCGATGAGTTTGTCTTGAATGGGTTTCCCGTCAAGCTTCGTAGGATTGACAAAGTCCGTGGCGCCGAATTTCTGGGCCCAGGATTCCTTCTTATCGTTGATGTCGACCACAATGATCCTGCTAGCCTTGTTCTTCAACGCACCCTGGATCACGGAAAGGCCAACGCATCCAGCCCCGAATATAGCCACTGTTGAGCCTTCTTCTACACCGGCAGTCACCACCGCAGCGCCGTAGCCGGTTGTGATACCGCATCCTAGCAGACATGTCCGGTCCATGGGAGCTTTATCTGTGATGGCTACAACGGAAATATCGGCGACGACGGTGTATTGGGAAAAAGTGGACGTGCCCATAAAATGTAATAGTTCCTTTCCACGGCACTTGAAACGGGATGTGCCGTCAGGCATGACGCCTTTGCCTTGGGTGGCTCTGATCTTACCGCACAAGTTCGTCTTGCCGGACTTGCAGAATTTACATTCTTTGCACTCGGGCGTACTGTTGGAGTCAGTAGGCACCTGCAACCATTTCAAGTGCCATTCCAAGAAGAATGGAAGAGGAGGTGTGTCCATACTAGAGTGCAACTACGTGGTCACCAGGCTTAACGGAAGTCACGCCTTCGCCGACAGACTCGACGATACCAGCGCCTTCATGGCCCAAGACGACGGGGAATGCTCCCTCCGGATCCTTTCCAGAAAGGGTATATGCATCTATAAAATTGGCATAAGTCAGTCGGAATTTCACAGCAATCAATTCCGCCTCTCAACCGTCGCTCACAGTCCCAAACAAAAGAAAAGGGGAAAGGTCATCAACCCACCTGTGTGGCAAACACCGGTATAGTATATTTCAATCCGGACCTCGTGGGCCTTTGGGGGTGCAACCTCAATATCCTCGATAGTGAGGTCCTTGCCTGCCTCCCACGCAACCGCAGCCTATTTTCTCAGTTCAGTCTCATGCCCGGCATCATTCCAAACAATCCCAAACGCCAGCAGTTGCTCTCAGAATGATATCATCCCATATCTTCCCAGGGGGATCAAACAGGGGGGTAATTGAATGGGAGGTGGGCGGTTTCTTACTTTGCAGGTGACAGTCTGTTTATTATTGTCCACTCCACCCATTGGTCAAACTGGTTAGCTTCCGATATCCCAAGCGTACGAAACAATTCAAACAGGCCAAACGGATTAAAAGAGAAAGTTAACTGACTTTTCCAACGGTGCTAGCCATCGTGAATTCGTGTTGCTCTGGTGAAGGTTGAAAATAGATGGCGACCAAGCTGGCTGGCTGGCTGAAATGAGCGGGGGGGGATATATGGGACGGGAAAGCAACAATTCTTCTCTGAGCGAGTTGATTTAATTGGAAATGAGGAGAAGCAAAAAAAGATGCAAGAAATCCTGCTACGGAAGAAGAAACTGTGAGAACGGGAAGATATATTTACCAGGGCGGAGGATCAAAAAGCCGCGGCGGAGGATGGCAGGTGGGGGGGCGGCGCTCGGGATTGAGGGGTATGTGTTGCGCCGTATATTCGGGTACCCGCCAGTCAGATAACGTGGAATAAACGC